GTATACTATTCCCTGGAATGCTCTTCCCCAGGGATATCCTTGACTGGTTCCCTGACCTTCTTTACTCAAATTTCCCTTCTCAGTGAGGCCACCCAACATAAGATCACAGCTGTCCCTTTCCCCACTCCTCTCCTGGAGTGATTACCTCACCACTTTTCACTATCTTAAGTTTTACAGGTTTTACATGCCTTGCTAACTGACTCTTGCACTAGAATGTAAGACCCGCCTATTTGGTTTGCTGGCAGATCCCTTTTGGCACACAGTAGGTGCTTAATAAATACCTGATGAAGGAATGAGTCTGGGCCATAGTTTGAGCACACTGGCTCAGAGACAGCCATGTGAGGGTGTCGTGGGCATCTCTCTGATTTGACTGCACATCAGCTATTTTGGCGCCTTCTGGCACCAGCTCTTGAATTTTCTTTTACAGAACGCCCCCCGCCCCAAGGCCTCATAGTTCAAGTGCAGTTGGCCCCATCTCTGGCTGCAAGAAAGTGCATATGACTCAGTCCAGCCAACCATTGTTTTCCATCCCCCGGAATGGTTCATGCTTGACCAAATGTCACATAGAGTGCCAGCCCCAAGACACTCTATTTGGGGAATTTTATTATGGGATGGCTTGAAGTACTGTTAACATAGGTCTGGTGACAGCAGGAGTGCCATATGGAGAGCTTGCCTGAGAGTGAAACCAACTTAGAGCGAGAACTCACTCAGGCCCCCTGACCCCCAGAGAGAGCATTAATCCATTCGTCAGGGATCCGCCCCCATGACTCAAATCAGTTTCCAACACTGCCACATTGGGGATCAAATTTCCACATGAGTTCTGGAGGCGACAACATATCCAAACTCTATCATCCAGTTATAGAAAATCTCAAGTAACAGAACAAACTGGGATGCTGTAAAAATTCTCTCACTCTAGACAAGGACCATATCTTACGCCTCTTGGTGTTTCAGAGCCTGTCGAACCCCAAAGGTTTGTCTAAATTGACTTAAACCAGTAAACCCTGGTAGAGTCCACTGGTTCCACAGCCTCCCTGAACACAGGACACAGTCCAAACAAGGCCTTGGCTTCTGTGTACTTCTTCTCTTTTACCCTCCCACGGAAGAGGCCAGCAAAGAGCCTGATGGCCTCCAAGGGTCATCTAAACACAGGGATCTTCCCAATTGCTTTGAAAATGTATTGCAAACAAGGCCTTGGCTTCTGTGTACTTCTTCTCTCTTACCCTCCCACGGAAGAGGCCAGCAAAGATCCTGATGGCCTCCAAGGGTCATCTAAACACAGGGATCTTCCCAATTGCTTTGAAAATGTATTGATGATTGAGGCCTTTTACTGACTAATATGCCCCTGGAACCAGTTCCCCAGGGCATCTGACATTTCCAACTGACAACTCAGGGAGTCAAGTGCATGCAGGGAAGAAAAAATAAATATACACAGTGCAGCCCCCACCCCCCATCTTGCAATTAGTAAGAAAGTATGAGCCCCTCATCTTGCGTGTCCTGCACCGGTCCTCTCAGCCAGACCCTAATTAGGATGGACGGCCATTCTCCACCCTGGGACTGGAAGAAAGCCTGGGATTATCTTAGTTGAGAAGTCTCCAGCCCAGAGAACTGTCAGAACTGCCGCATGGATGAGCAGAAAATAGCAGATGATAAATTTTTTAGGACCACCCTCTGCTTGCCAGTTGTAGCAGACTGTGAGCTAATGTGTTGGGCTTTTTTGGAACATTCATTATTGATCCGGGTCTGTCTAGTGGTTTATAAAAAGCCCATCATCCCCCCCACTACCACCTTCCCATCCTTCACCTCCTGAAAGAAGCTCAGCCTCCTTCAAAAGCCAGTTTGACTGGTGGAGGAAGGTCTGGCTCGTTTGTGGAGGGGAAGACTTGTAGGCACTGATCTGTGCTATTTAGTGCAGCTGTGTGGGAGCTGACAGATGCCACCGAGCATGAGGGGCTCTAAACCCACCGTGTTCACTTCCTGGAATTTATCTTTCAGAAACACTCGCTCATGTGTGCAAAAATGCGCGTATAAAGACATCCCCAGCAACAGTATTTGTAACAGTGACAAACTAACAAACACACTAACAATCTGGAAACAAATCAGTATCCATCCTAGGAGACTGGCTAAGAAGAGCAGTGGTTGAGTCCATGGCTCTGGTTAAAGTCCTGTTAAACTACATTCTTGCTGTGTGACCTTGGATAAGTAGCTTAACTTCTCTGTGCCTCAGCTTCTCTATTTGATAGGATGGAGAGAACAAATCTCTATATTTTAAGTCAGCCATGGTTTTCTTTGTTGTCTTTCTCCCCTGTCCTCATCACACCCATAGCTCTTCTCCTCATGTTTCTATATTCTGTTGGTTTTATTCAAGAGTCACAGATGCAAAATTACAATCAAATTCAGACATGAGGCTTAGCTAGATCAAATTGCTTCAGTAAAAATGTACTGTTCCTAAGAACGGGTATTCAATTACTCACCTGTAGGTTCAGGCCCCAAATCTAAACGCTGCCCTTGATTCTTCTCTTTTCCTTAACTTCCACATTTAACTCATCCATCATTTTATTTCCCAAACATAAACCAAGTGGGGCCATGTCTCACCAGCTCCACTGCTCCCGCCCTGGTCCGGGCTTCCATCATCACCTGCCAGTTACTGCACTGGCTCCCTCATGGGTCTTCCTGTTTCTGCTCCTGCTCCCTGCAACCTAATTTCATCATGACAGCAGAGGGGTCCTATTGGAACCTAAGTGAGGTCACGGCCACCCTCTGCTTAAGACTTCTCATCCACGTCTGTTTCACTAAGAATAGCACTCGAAACCCTCACCACAGCCACAGGCCCCACACGGCCTGGCCCCAGTCAACTGACTCCCTGGCTTCCTCTCTCTCCATTCACAGGCCGGCTCATTCCACACTGGCCTCTTTCTGCTCCAGTCCACTGTAAGGCTCATTTTTATCTTGGTGTCTTTGAATTTCCTGTTCTCTCCAACTGGAATGATCTTCCCCCAGTTCTTCAGCTCCTGGCACAGTGTGCACTGCACAGAGCAGATGCTTAATAAACATCTGCTGGATGAATGAATGAATGTCTAGGGCATCTCAAGTTCTCAGGCACAACTAGAATGAAATAGCTTGAGGGGCCACACGAGGGGAGACCACGGAGTTCTGAGGTCCAGGTGCTGCCTGCAAGTCCTCTGCAAAATTCTGCCAGCAGCAAAACTCACACCCCTGTGGCCACGGTCTGTAGACTCCCCACAATGAGGTTATCAAATGCGGCTCATTCTAAATGCTGCCAGGGAGATAGGTATCATATGTGTCAAATTGTCAATAAAAGCTCTGGGCTCTGATTGCTTCTTGGCTGCAAATTTTTTTTGCACTGATAAGCTCCTGGAGAAAAAGCTATATTTGTGATCATTAATACAAATCATTGCAAGGAGTGACTTGGTTTTATATAAATCACCTTATCTTGGTAGCTAAAAGACTGATTCAGGTTGCAAAGGCTGACCTAGTAAACCGTTAACATTTGTTGCCACCAACAATAATCTGTTGTCTTCTGAAAGTCAGCAGAGGCTGAGGGCCGACCCCTCACCGAGCAAGGAGATCGAGATCGGGATATCCCTACCCACAAAAGCCTCCAAGATCTGGCTCCATTCTCTCCCTCCAGTCTCATATTTTACTTCCCCTCTCCAGGCTCCAGCCACATCTGCCTTCTTGATCCTGCCTCAGGACCTTTACATATGCTGTTCCCTCTGCCTTGGGTGCTTTTCACCAGATTTTCACAATGCACAGTATCACTGATGATGAAAGGGGAAATCTAATTTATAGGAGAAGGGAAATGCACAAAGCGTGGGATGCCCAGTACTGTAGCCACAAGCCACAGGTGCCTACTGAGGACCTGAAAGGTGTTTAGTCCTAATTGAGATGCACTCTAAGTGTAAAATACATGCCAGATATCAAAAACAATATAAAAAAGGGAAAATATCTCATAATTGATTTCTTATACTGATTACATGTTGAGATGATAAGTTTGGATATACTGAGTTAAAATATGTTATTAAGATTAATTTCTCCAGTTTCTTTTAACTTTTAAAAAAGTTGTAGCTACTAGAAAATGTAAAGTTACACATGTCATTTGCATTTATGGCTCCCATTCTATTTCCAGAGGACAGCACTGCTGTAGGGTTTAATGAGGAGAAATGGAATCTGCCAGAGGGCGGGTCACACAGTGAGCCAAAGGTGGGGACCAGGGGGGCTTGGGTGGGGAATGCAGGGAGCATACTGGCACTATGGGCTGGGGGCACCTTGAGCACACAGCCATGAGCCCCCATCATGCCTGCTCTGCGTGTACATGAGCTAAACCTTGGTAAGGGCCCCTGTCCACACCTGCTCTCCCAGGGGCCTGCAGCAGTGTAAGGGGTGGAAGCTTGGGGGATCCCCCACACCGACCCCCTGCTACAAGCTGGCTCCTTCTTTTGTTCAGTGTCAGCTCAAATATCACCCCCTCTGTGAGCCCCTCCCTCACGGCCAATCAACAGTAGCTCCCAACTCCACCACTGCCCTGTGCACGGCCCTACTCAGTTTTCATAGTGGCACTTGTCCTTCCGTGAAATTATCTTCTAACTTGACTTGCTGTCGTGTGGCTCTCTGTCTCCCTTACTCTCTGACAATAGGGATCGTGCGTGTCTTACTCATTAGTGAAGTCCAGGCCCTAGAAGATGGCCCGGTACATACTAAATACTCAATAGAAACTGGGTGCAAATAACGACCTGGTCTCAGCATCTCTTCTTAAGACCCTGGAGAAGACCAGAAACGGTTTTACTTTGGGAAGGTTAAAAACCCCTAACCTCGAGGATCCAGCTTTGAGCCCACATGTGTGAGGCAACCCCTGTGTCTTGGTTGAAATCCACTTAGAAGTGAACTCTCTGTGTCTACACAACTGCTTTGCCTCAGGAGCCTCAGCCCGGTGGCCCTGCGTGGACAATGCGCCTCCTTGGGGCCCTGCTGGGGACGCTTACCCAGCTCCACATCCTGGTCGTCCGTCAGCACCAGGATGATGTTGGGGCGGATGTTCCTGCGGTCCCTCTGAAACCTGCCCTTCAGGCGGGGGTGCGACAGGAATGCCGAGCTGCCCTCCAGCAGTGACAGCACGGTCGCAGACAGCAAGCCAAGCAGGAGGCCGTGGGGGGCCATTTTCTTTCTTTGCGGACCCGTGGCTTCTTGAGGGTTGCAGGAGTCTGGAGTTGTGTGTTGTGGTTGCTTCTTCTCCTTCTTCCCTCTCTACACACGGATCTAAAGCAGGAGGAAAAGAATCAGGTCAGTACATATGTCAAGCTACCCCTGCTCGCGCCTGCATGACTGTCCCAGGCTGCTGTGATGACGAGATCGTCTTTGAACAGGGGCAGCTATGGCGGAGCAAAAAGCTAACTCTGCTCAAGTTAGAAAAGCATTTCATCTGCTGAGTCGATAGAAACAGCAGACAAAAGCCTTCTGCGACCACTTCTGCAGACAGCATTTCTCCCCTGGAGCCAGCGATCCTTTGGATGTGTTGGTGGCAGCCCAAGACCCAATTCAGAGAATCAGCCTGTCTCTGGACAGTCCACCCAATTTAACAGACCATCCCAGAAAGAGGAAGAGCAGTGGCCCATCTGAGGGAGCAGACACTTCTGGTCACTCGTATCTGCGGCACCGTGGGCACACGTGAGCAGATGAAGTTTCAGCTCTCAAGCCGCGGGGGACTCACAGGGGTTAGGACGAGCCCTTGGGGACTGGGGATGGTGTCCACTTTGGGCTGGACAGCTCATGGGGTTCAGTCCCAGACCTGCCACTTGCTGGCTCAGTGTCCCCATGAACAAGCCAGTGAGGGACACCTCAGTTTCCCCATAAGTAAAGTGAGGGAGATGAGGCCATTACAAGAACTCAGTCCAGTGGAGAGGTGTGTAAAAGCCCCTTGTCAATGAGCCCATAGCTGGGCGAAAGGCATTCATACTAGCTTTAAGTGGCAGAATACACCAAATGACAAACGAGAAAATCGAGGGCTAAAGAGGAAGAACTGTCATATCCCACCATGACCTCGGTCAGCCCCTTGACCCCAGATCAGTTGGGTCACAGATGTAGGTGGGTGGGAGGTAGGTGGGACAGGGAATCTTGGCTCGAACAGATCTCTGTGAACTAGCCAGTGAGGGGCCTCAGTTTCCCCATGAACAAGCCAGAGAGAGACCTCAGTTTCCTCACCTATAAAATGGGGAGATGTGGCTGTTATAAGAACTCAGTCCACCGGTGATATGTATGAAAGTCCCTTGTCAATAGATCTCATAACAAAATTTGTTCTTATAATAATAAACGAAATGATAAAAAGGAGGATTGAGGAGCTAAAAGGGTTAGGAAGGAATGTTCACATTCCACTGTGACATCTGATCCAGGAGAAAGGGTGGGGGAGGGGTCGGGATGGGGACTCTTGGCTTGAGCAGGTCCCTGATCTCGCTCTGCTCTTCACTCTGCGGTCATTTTTCTACTTCACGAGGAAATGAGCCTTCAAGTCCTGTCCAGATATAGACTTCTGCTCTCATTTATTTCAGACGAGGGACAGAGGTGTTGGGAGGAAACCAAGTGCCCTGCAGTCAGACTGCGTCCCTGTGACCTTGAAGGAGTTTGTTGATCCCTCCTGTCCATGGAGGAAACTCTGGCCACCGCCCCAAAATCATGGCTCAGGGACTCAGCTGGGGCTCCAGGGATATGTGCTGCCCCCGCCCCCACCCTCCATTCCCTGCAGGGCAGCCACAGGATCCTCCTTAATACAAATCAGATGATATCGCTCAGGAGGGCCCAGAACTGGAGGGGCTTCGCTCCAGGCTGTGCAAGTGCGCACACTGGGCTCACCTCGGTGCAGGTCCTGTACCCACTGCTCGACTTCTCCCCACTTCTCACCACTCTCAGAGTAAAAGGAAGACTCCCTGCAGGGCCTGGCATGACCTAGCCCTTGCCCACCTCGCCCTCTTCCCCCCAATTGCTCTCCAGCCCTGCTGGCTTCTTTCTGTTGCTCAGACAAGTCAAGCTTGTTTCTGCCCCAGGGCTTTTGCATTTGCTATTTCTTATAACTGTAAGAATTTTTCTTCAGGGTTTGTGATGGGTTCATTCTCCTCCGCAAGGTTGAGGCACAAATGTTATGTCCTCACAGAGGCCTGCCCTGACTACCCTATTTGAAGTGGCGGCCCCACCCCAAGTCCTCTCTGTATTTTATAACCTGTTTTTCCCCCCTCCTAATCACTACTACAACCTGCAATTAACTTATTTATTGACTGTTCTCCCCACTGGAGGTTCAGCTCCACAAGGGCAGACATGGGGTTTGTGCTGTTCACAGCTCTGTCCCCAGCACCTTGTGCAGCAGCTGGCACAAATAAATATTTAGATAAATAGAGAAATGCAGAATCTGTTAAGCTCCTTTGAGTTCTGCAGTGAGGGGTGCTATGTCTATGTGGCTCAGAGGTCACACCCCTGCAGGTCACCAAGAAGGAGTCGGCTACTCTGAGTCCTCTGGGCAGTACTGTCATTGAAAAGGCTCCAGGAAGGAACCTGGATGGGAAACACTGTTTGTCCCTTCTAATCCTGTCTCTGCCCTGCTCAGTGCCTGAGGAAGCCCACCTTTGCACATCCCTGCTCTCTGGCTTCTGGTAGGGAGGCTACAGGGCAGGAGGAGGGGGGAATGATTCAGGAGGTGCTCAGTTTCCCTGGGCTCGGGTTTCAGGACATGCCTCTGGGTTTCCAGCCACTCCCTGAGGTCTCAGGCCCCTACGCTAAGCCCTCCCCTAGAGGAAAGTTACCATTGCCAGTTAGACCTATTTTTAGCACCAACTCGGGGAAAATGAGACCACTAAGGGCTGGCTTATGAAAATCCAGTGGCTGAGCATGCTCAGTAGAGAATGGCTAGGCTATGTAAGTCTGGTAGCCGAACGATCTTCCACTACAGGTGCTAGAGAGCACAGAATATTCTTGAATATGTGTGGTGCCTGTGACAGGACTTGGCCAATGAACATGCTCCAGGAAGAGACCAACTGAGCATGTGCTCGACTATGTTACATACCTTAAGTGAATATTCATTAGGTAGTAAAACTATAAAAGCCGAATCCCAGCCAAAGGTAGGGTTGTTGCTTGCTCTCCTGGAAGCAACCCGCACTTTGCTGGCTGAGGTGTGTATACTTTACTTCGTACTTACTTTCAGCAAGCTGCTCACTCTCTTGAGCCAGCCTCTGTGCTGAGCTTTAAGTGTGTATTTCTTGCTCTTATTTTAAACTTGGTGTGGGTCCTGCTCAGTCTCTGGAGCTATGCTGCACTCTCTCTGTGGAACCTGTTTTTCTTTTCTGTTACATTAAACTTGTTCTCACTGTCTACTGTGACTCTGCCTTTGAATTCTTTCCTGTGGTGGAGTCAAGAACTTGGTAAGAGGACAGGGTGGGTTGAGGCCGACTATCGGGCCCCCTGGATCCTACCTCCGACATCAGGAAATCAATGTGTTTATTCTCCTCTGCTCTCTCCTTAGCATGCAGCAGCTCCCCAGTGCCCTTGTCTCTCTAGAATGGCCACAGCTCCTGTCCTGCCGGCTCTAGCTTTCCCTAGTCCTGGGTCCACTTCTCCCTCCTCTTGCCCCATCACGTCTAGGGGTGGTTGTTGCCCCTCTCTATTGCTAGATCCCAGGTGCTGTGTCATTCCTTGTTTGCTCCCTTAACCCCACCTGCCCTCTGAAGATAGCGTCTTCAGTCACCTCCTCCAGCTGCCCGCATGAGTGCCCTGGTTAGCCTCCCTTAGCGACTTAACACAGTCCTTGTATCCCGTGTCAGGCTGGTCAGGACAGCACGTCTCCCTTCTAGCATCTCCCCCAGCCCTAGGGGAGGCTGGGAGCCGGCCCCACACAGGACATCTACGCAGAGAGCTGAGGTGAGAGTCACAATATCAGGGAAGCCAGGGATGCACCGATGTAGAGTAGTCTGACATGAGAACCGTGACTTTCGTGGGACCAGCTGACTTTCTTCTCAGTCTCCTCATCTGCTAAAACATGCATCTTGGGACAGCCAGAGCCACCACAGCAACTGTGTACTGGGTACCTGCTTTGTGCCACATTGTGTGATGGTAAAGAGCATGAACTTTGGATTTAGTTGCTGAGACCCTGGGCTAGTAACTTAATGCCTTGGTGCCTCAGTTTTCTCATCTATAAAATGGGTGTGAAGGATTTATTGAGTTAATACAGAGCACTGAGACAAGAACTTGGTGCATGGGATTAACTAGAACATAACTCACAGTGTAAACCATTCTTAGATTATTATTACTATTCTTGCAGCTGTGTCCTGCATCAGGCACTCTGTTTGCAGAATCTCCTTCAATCTCCCAACATTCCTCTCCCGCAGGTAGTATTATCATCCCCATTTTACAGTAGAGAAAACTGAGGCTTCATCACTGTCCTTAGAGCCAAGAGAGAAGATGGCAGAGATGGGATTTGACTCTGCTGTCCCTGACTGCTTGGTGTGGGCTCCTCCTCACCACCGAACGCACCCTTCCCAGCTTCTTCCCCACTTTTGATCTGTTGTATTTGCACAGCCTTGCAACGATTATTTGCTTAATGTGCCTTTAAAAAAAAAAAAAAAAAAAAGACCGGTAAGGGGATCTTAACCCTTGGCTTGGTGTTGTCAGCACCACGCTCACCCAGTGAGCCAACCGGCCATCCCTATATGGGATCCGAACCTGTGGCCTTGTGAGCCACAGGTTCAGATCCCAAGTGAGCCACAGGCCAGCCCTTAATGTGCCTCTTTAACTGGCCTCATTTTACAATGAAAACACGAACACATATTTTGGAAGAAAAAAAAAACACCTTTCTATCCAAAGATAAATGGAAAGTAAGTATCCCTTCCCTGCAGAGCTAATTACACAAATAAAGTCAGAGAAGGCTGAAACAGTGTAACTCAATTTGAACAGCTAGATTAGCAGGTGTTGAAAGGAGCCAAGGCACATTAGCGCCATCCTGAGACTTTCTGCTGGAGGTAATGGAAGGCCATGGGAGGGATGGAAAGGGGGAATGCTCTGGCCATCTAATTGGTCCCTGAACTACCTCAAATCATACAGTAGTCTTCAAACCAGGCTGTTTATCAGTGGTCCATGTCCCTCCTTGGGAAACACTACAGGTGCTTTGACTTGAAACTGTGGGTGCACCAACCAGCTCACTAAAGTGCACATTCGTGTTCCTTCAGATGGACAGACATGGAGTGATCAAATAATACTGAGACAACTTCCAAGGGATGCC